AATTAAGATAAAAAAATTTAGGGTTATCTGATAGGGCTTTTATTTTTCCAAGGTATAAAACTCAGTCTTTGTCAGTTTGATAAGTTAATTGTATTTTTTGATTTAAAATTGATTTATTATAATTTTTAGAATTTTCTAAGTTCCTAAAAGAGCTAAATTTTAACATGTTTGATTTTGTGTCCTACAAATGTTAATTAGTTTGAGTTTGCTTAGTTTCACTCCTATTGGGTGTGTGTGAAATTTCTTATGAATTTTCTAAGTCATCTAGATAACATCCTTAATTATTTTTTCTAGGTGTCACTAAAGTTCAATGAAGGATGAAATTTTATTTAACAAACCTTAATATATATACAATCATAACACAGCAATCATGCATCCTAATTCTTAAGATCTAGAGAGTTATAAATTTTTAAAGTTTTGGGTCCAAAATTGACTCATTACTTTGAAAATTCATATCATAGTAATCTATTGGGTATTTGATCGTAGAAAAATCACAGAACATATTTAAGATATCCAAAAATCTTTCACCAAAATTTTGAGCCATATTGACCATTGGATTGTGAGAAAATTACAAATAAATAATTTCAAATAAATGTGAATATCTCATAATACAAGAAACAAATTGATATAAATTTAATTTTAATAAATAGTAAATTAAATTCACTTTCTAATGAGCCCAAAAACTTCCAAATTGTTGAAAAATTCAATTTGTTGTAAATTTTGGAAGATTTTGGACATTTAAAATATTTTTTATTCAGATTTGGGTCATATCAGTCGTCGACCCAATTATTGGTTGATGGCGGTGAAGCGCAGCGGCACGGTGCCATGTGTCAGATTTGATATGGGTCACTTAACCATGTCAGACCTGACGATCCGATGATCAGATCATAACGTGGGGAGATCGACAGCCGAGGGGCCGCCATGTCACCCCTTGACCGCGGGAGGACATGCATTCGAGCCTTAGGGAAAACAGCACGGTTTAGGTCTGGGTCGTTTGAACTTCAATCGGACGGTCCAAATCTTCTAGTTTTCTCAAGTTCTTTTTTAATAGAAATTTTTAAATGCTCATATCTCCCAAAATACTTGACAAAATTTAACGAAATTTTAAACATATCTTGGGGGCAATATAATCTTGTAATGCCTTGATTTTGGAGGCTCCATGTTTTACAGATTTCTTGTAGTCTCAAATTTTATTTCTACCTAAAAGTGAGAAAATTTTATAATCTATCTAGTGGATTTTTGTATTTTTGGACTCCTTTTACTCATGTTGATATCCTCTATAAGTTTATTGAAGACTCTAGAGGATTTGAATTGTTGGATTTGAAGTTGTTGATGAGAGAATATTTTCTCTCACTAGAATGTCCTCTCCTCACTAGAATTGTGATTTAAGAGCTAGAAACGATGGAGAAAGGCTTGGAATGGACTTGGGAAGGGCTGAAATGGATGGGGAAGTCTATTGAATGTTTGGAGGTTGATGGGGTTTGGACATAGATGAAATGAGAGAGAATGATGGGTATTAGGTCCACTTTCCTACACTTAACCCCTTTCTTTTAGGTTGGATGGCTATGATTTTATTAGGGAAGCTTTGGATGGGTGACAAGTGTCCCTAAGGCAACCCAAAACTAGAAGAAAGCTTATGGGTTGAGAGGGATTGGTCTTGGTCCATGGGAAGGTGGACCACACGTTTTCCCTCATTTGGATTAACTAATGCTTGGCTTGGTTTAGGGAGCTGGTATTAGGGGGCCTTTTAGGAAAGGAAATGGTTCACATCACATCATGTTTGAGCATATTTTGAAACGAGAATTAGATTACCAAGGTGGGATGCCCACCTAAGCTTTAATGATAGTTTGTTTGACCATTTTACTGGTCAAACTAGTCAATGGGAGTGTTGTGGTAGTCAAGGGAATGTATTTGGGTGGTTGTATATATGGTCAAGTATTTGAGACTAAAAGTTTTGAAGTTTTTAGCAAATACATGAGATTGGAGAGGGTTTGACCCCTCCAAATTTGTTGACCAAGTCATCCCAAGGGGATTTTGACTTGGAAATTTTTGGGCATGCATGGAATGTCTAATTAGGTGATTTTGAAGGGTTTATTTGGCTTGAAATGAGATCAAGCCTAGAAATTAACATTAATGTAGGTTAAAGGTTGATTTGGTCAACCATAGTTGATTTTATTAGCCATTGTTGACTTGGTCAACCTGGTCAAACTATGGGTTAAGTTTGGATCAAATAAGTTCAAATGAGTGTTTTGAGATCAGTGGAGGGTGGTCTCATACATTGGTGATGTCATTTGATTGAAATTGACATTTGAATTATTAAGGGGCATTTTGGTCAACCGTGGTTAACTTGGTCAACATGGTAAAAAAAAAGGGTAGGTTTAGGTCTAATGTGTTTCTAAAGATGTTTAGAATCCATTGGAGTAGGTTTTAAAGTTTTATATGGGAAGGTGATGTTGAATTTTTGGGGAAAAGACCAAAAACTCTCTTTAAAGGGCATCTTTTATGGATGTTCAACTGGCCCAAACTCAGCTATCATACGTGCATTGCGGGAGCTCGCCGTCCACATCTTTACATTGACCCTTTGGTTCGCCTGTCGTAGGATTTGGCTTACTCTTCGATACAGTGTGTTGCCATTGGGCTTTTTGATGTGGAAGTGCTTGAGACCGTATTGGCGCATGAGTTGTTTTATGCTTTGCTTCGATTGGTTGTTCATTACTTTGTGTGGCCAACCATCAACATAGCAATTCATTCACTTGTTGCCTGTGCCTTTGATTGGTTTTTGGGAAAAAATGAGGTGATATGCTGCCTGTGCCTTCGATTGTTGGTTGCGAAAAAATAATCAGGTGTGCCTAGTTACACAACATACTTGCGCCTCAAAGCCAGAGTGCTATTGGCCCTTATGGGAAAGTTGCAGGTGTGCCTCGGCCCTGCTTGCCAACACTTCGAGACCCTGCTTGCCAACACTTCGAGACCCTGCTTGCCAACACTTCGAGACCCTGCTTGCCAACACTTCGAGACCCTGCTTGCCAACACTTCGAGACCCTGCTTGCCAACACTTCGAGACCCTGCTTGCCAACACTTCGAGACCCTGCTTGCCAACACTTCGAGACCCTGCTTGCCAACACTTCGAGACCCTGCTTGCCAACACTTCGAGACCCTGCTTGCCAACACTTCGAGACCTTGCTTGCCAACGTGCCCATGGCTTATGTAACTTGATGCATACGGGAAAAAATGTATCCGCTAGTAAATGATGCGACATGTCGCTTGTGCCTCGATATGATTGTTGGTTGCGAAAGAATAATCAAACGTGCGTGCGAATGTGCTAAGCCCCTGGCTGGCAGCATGCGGAGGCCCTGGCGGCAAGCCTGCGGAGGCCTTGGCGTCAAGCCTGCGGAGGCCATGGCTGGCAGCGGGCGGAGGCCCTGGCTGGCAGGCTGCGGAGGCTTTGGCTGGCAGGCTGCGGAGGCCTTGGCTGGCAATCTGCGGAGGACCTGGCTGGCAGGCCGCGGAGGCCCTGGCTGCCTGCGGAGTCCATGGCAGCAAGCCTGCGGAGGCCGTGGCGGCTAGCTTGCGGAGACAATGGTTGGCAGCTTGTAGTGGTCATGGCTGGCAGGCTGCGGAGGCACTGGCTGGCAGGCTGCGGAGGCCCTGGCTGCCAGGCTGCGGAGGCCCTGGCTGGCAAGCTGCGGAGGCCTTGGCTGACAGCCGCCGTTGCACATTCAAATGTACTAAGAAGTACTCAAATAAGTGCTTTTTGGCATCGAGTTGGCATGTTGGGAACTCGTGTGTGCATGCACAAGCAAATAGTGCTATCAAATGGCAAAAAAAAAAAATAAGCTTTTTGGGCCATTTTGAACTACGGGGGCATTTTTGGGGCTGTTTGCACTGTTTGTCTTTTGGGGGGGTAGGCTGTACATTGAGCAGAGCTACAAAACTTTGTCGCAGAGCTTGATTGTCATGTGGGGGATGAAACACTTGCGATGGATTGTCGGATTCGGAGGATTGAATCGATATGCCAAGTCACATGGTATCATTGGCATTATTGGAGTATATGCTCCTATGTCGCTTGCTATTTTACATCTTATATGGATGTTCAACCGGCCCAAACTCAGCTATCATACGTGCATTGCGGGAGCTCGCCGTCCACATCTTTACATTGACCCTTTGGTTCGCCTGTCGTAGGATTTGGCTTACTCTTCGATACAGTGTGTTGCCATTGGGCTTTTTGATGTGGAAGTGCTTGAGACCGTATAGGCGCATGAGTTGTCTTATGCTTTGCTTCGATTGGTTGTTCATTACTTTGTGTGGCCAACCATCAACATAGCAGTTCATTCACTTGTTGCCTGTGCCTTTGATTGGTTTTTGTGAAAAAATGAGGTGATATGCTGCCTGTGCCTTCGATTGTTGGTTGCGAAAAAATAATCAGGTGTGCCTAGTTACACAACATACTTGCGCCTCAAAGCCAGAGTGCTATTGGCCCTTATGGGAAAGTTGCAGGTGTGCCTCGGCCCTGCTTGCCAACACTTCGAGACCCTGCTTGCCAACACTTCGAGACCCTGCTTGCCAACACTTCGAGACCCTGCTTGCCAACACTTCGAGACCCTGCTTGCCAACACTTCGAGACCCTGCTTGCCAACACTTCGAGACCCTGCTTGCCAACACTTCGAGACCCTGCTTGCCAACACTTCGAGACCCTGCTTGCCAACACTTCGAGACCCTGCTTGCCAACACTTCGAGACCCTGCTTGCCAACACTTCGAGACCTTGCTTGCCAACGTGCCCATGGCTTATGTAACTTGATGCATACGGGAAAAAATGTATCCGCTAGTAAATGATGCGACATGTCGCTTGTGCCTCGATATGATTGTTGGTTGCGAAAGAATAATCAAACGTGCTTGCGAATGTGCTAAGGCCATTCGTATTTCATAGTCAGAGGTGAAATTGTTGGATTTATGAAAGACGAACCACTGCGAAAGCATTTGCTAAGGTTGTTTTCATTAATCAAGAACGAAAGTTGGGGGATCGAAGACGATCAGATATCGTCCTAGTCTCAACCATAAACGATGCCGACCAGGGAACGGCGGATGTTGCTTTTAGGACTCCGCCGGCACCTTGTGAGAAATCAAAGTTTTTGGGTTCCTTGAAAGTTGCATATTGCATTAAAGAAAGTAAAGGAAAAGTACAAATAAAAGTCTAGGCTTGGTCACTATCACCCCTCAAAAGAGACAAAAAGGAGGGGGGTACATTTCTATCATCACAAGCCTTCCACATAAAATTGCCAAAAGAGGCATAATCAGCACAAAAGTCGGCCGGCTGGTTACATTGGCGTGGTACATTTGAGAACAGCACTTGGCGGAAATCCAGGAGGAAAGAGAGGTCCGGTCCCTCGGTCGTTAGATGAAGCTTGTTCAGGCGGTTGAAGGCTCCTTGGAGCCACTTGATTGCATTGCGGCAATCGCCCTCAATGATAATCCCATCCATATTGAACATCCAGTCTTCGACAGCAGCCCGGATAGCAGTGGCCGCAAGAATCTCGGCCCTCGTCACGTCCCATTGCTCCACCAGGCTACCGGCAACAAGGAGCAGTTTGCCAACATGGTCCCGAGCCACAACCCCTAATCCGGCCACAGCATTTGGCCGGACCGAAGCATCAACGTTGAACTTAACCCACCCAGGAGGGGGGGGGGGGGGGGGGGGGGGGGGGTGCACCAATGAGTGAAAGAAAGCAGCCCAGAGGGCTGAAAGGTGCACCATTGCTCCCAAGACGACATCGCAAAACATTTCGGAAGCATAGCCAAGGAATTAGCCGCGAGCACCGCCGGCGTCCCGAACGTCCTCCCGTGCATCTTGTCGTTACGTGCCCGCCAAACTTGATACACCACATAGCAGTAAAGCCGCCCCACACTCGCAAACTGCTTGGCCGAAAGGGCAAGGCCATTGATCATATCCTCCCAATTCTGGAACCTCGGCAAGGAGAAACCCCACTTGGCCAACACCTCATGGGTCGAAATAAGCATCTCGCAATGAGCAGTGAGGTGCAGCACCGTCTCCTCACAATTGCATCCCCACGGGCAGTTAGGAAGATCCACAAGCCCCCGCCGGTAGAGCCATGAATTAGTCGGGATGGCTCCGCGGGTAATGCGCCACCAGAACATGTGTTCCCGCGGGTGCAGATGGAACTTCTTGAACCACAGAAAATTGTATTCCAGCTGGAGAAAATTCTCCTTGTAGGCCAAAGCCGAAATGGTTGTCCCCAGCTGTGAGTTGATCAGCTCAGGGCAATCCTCTCCCTGCCCCACACGGGTCGGAATGCCAAAGATGTAGTCAGCAAGAGCCGGGCCAAAGGAGTGCAGGACACGCTCCCGCTGCCAATCAAGGTTCTCGTCCAGGAAATCACCCACCGTACAGCCCTCAATGGTGTCAACAGCAACAAACGACGGCCAGCGAGCCAAACAGCGATTGGCAATCCAAGTGTCCTCAAGAATGTCGATTTTACTGCCATCCCAGATGTTCCAGCGAAGGATGGGGCGAAGGGCGGCCGCTCCCTCCCTAAGCACCTTCCAAGTGATCGATGCACTGCGCCCCTCAGAAGAGCCCCACAGATTGGTGCCATATCTGGCCAGAATAGTACGTCCGAGCAGGGATTCCCGGTCGTGAACAACATTCCAGGCTAATCTTGCCCGGAGTGGGCCTTGCCAGGTGGCCGAAGCATGGAAGCCCAGTCCGCCCACAGCAGTTGGTCGGCAGAGATCCGACCAAGACACATAGTGCAGGCCCCGTTTGCCCGCCTCCTTCTGCCACATGAATTGCCTAGCCATCCTCTCAATAGCATTAAGAGTGCCCGTTGGGATGTTTGTATGCGTGATAAGATACATCGGGATGGTTAAAAGCGAGGACCGAATCAGTGTAGCCCGACCCGCCAAAGAAAGATGTCTCCGGCCCCAGACGTTAATCTTATCCGAGACCGCCCGCACCACCTTGAGAAAATCAGACTTCGTCAATTTCCGCATGGTCAGCTGCAGTCCAAGATACTCCAAAGATTACACCCGGCAGAACGCAATATCCCTTGCAATTCTTCGCTGCTTCCAAAGGGGGCACTTTTTACTGAAAAGAATGGCGGATTTGGCACAATTAATCCGCTGCCCCGTCCAGGCACAATACTCATCAAAGATTGCCATAGTCCTCCGAGCATTAGTGCCACTAGCCGTGGCGAAGACAAGCACATCGTCTGCATAAAGGAGGTGGGACACCAACGGGGCGTTCCGAGCCACCTGAACGCCAAGAGTCCGACCATGCTGAGCAAAGGCCTTGGTCAGCAGCTCCGAGCATAAGATAAAGAGATACGGCGAGAGCAGACAGCCCTGGCGGAAGCCGCTCGCCCCAGTGATCCATTCGATCCTGCACCCATTAATAAGCAGTTGAAATTTAGGATAAGAAATGCATTGGGTTACCCAATTAGTGAAGGCCTCCGGGAACCCCATCAAGGCCATAACATGTTGCAGCGTGTCCCAAGCCATGCAGTCATAGGCCTGCTCCATGTCCACCTTCAAAGCCATCATACCCGCCGCTTTGGTGGAGTGCTGAAAGTTGTTGATAATCTCTTGCGCCAAGAGGCCATGGTTGGAAATAGATCTCCCAGGGACAAAGGCCCCTTGCTCTTCCCCAATAATGCTAGCAAGCACCGGCTTCATCCGGTGGACAAGCACCTTTGCGACCACCTTATAAAAGGTTTGACAAAGGCTGATAGGCCGAAATTTTGCCGGATTGTCCGCATTCAACACCTTCGGGATAAGAATAATGAGGGTCTCCTTCCACCCACCATCCATCAGGTTGGAAGAAAAGAATTCCTGCACCGCCAAAAGGACCTCCATCTTGATAATCTCCCAGTAAAACTTGAGGAATGAAGCCGTGATACCGTCCCGCCCAGAGGCACGGTTGGATCCCATCGTGTGCACAGCGTGCCACACCTCCTCATCCGTGACCGCGGCAGTGAGGGATGGAATTAAGTGAGCTGGGATCTTCCTCGCATCGCCGAATTCAGGCCACCCCGTGAGGCTGGCCTGTCGATCCTTCCATTTATCCCGAAAGAATGCCGAAAAAGTGTCCAGATAGTCCGTTGATCGGTGACCGGCTGGTCACAGTTCGGCAAGGTGAGCACCACTCTGTTGTCCCGCCTCCGTCCCGAGGCGGCCAAGTGAAAAAAATGGGAGTTAGCATCCCCCTGTTCAATCCACCGTACCTTGGCACGTTGCCTCCACCAAATGGTTAATCTAGCCAAGGTATCATTCAAATCCCCAACACATCGCCGCAGCTCCTCCTCAAGGTCTTGGCCAAGCCCGCCAGGCGTGCAATCTAGGTTCTGCAGCTCAATTATCCGCCGCTCCAGCTCCGTCTTCCTCCTGTTCAAATTTAGAGCGCGTTGGCGGCTCCAATGATACAAAGCGCGCAAAGTGCGATGACATTTACGATTGAGGATGTCCGCAGGGGAGCCCGTATCGGTCTTCCTCCAATTCAGCCAAACTATACGCCAAGACGCCGGGTAAGTAGTCCAGACATCCTCAAACCGGACCCACCTCTCCGGAGCCGTGGCCACCTTGGCCCCCAAAGAGAACAGCAATGGGGCATGGTCCGAGGCAATCCGTCCCATGTGACGCACCATCGCCAGCGGGGCCTTGCTAAGGCCCTCAGAATTCATAAGGATACGGTCCAGCCGCACCCAAATCTGGCTGTTGCCATCTTTGTTATTACACCAGGTAAATTGGGGACCAACGAATCCAAGGTCATGGAGATCGTTGCAATTCATAAATTCAGCCATCTCAACCACGCCGGCAGTTGGGGTAACCCGCTTCCCCCCCTTCTTCTTCGATTGGGCGAGGCAACAATTGAAATCACCGCCCACAAGAACAGGTTCCGCCGCAACACAGAAGGTCCCAATGTTCTGCCAAATGCTACGCCGGCGGAGGTAGTCTTTGTTGCCATAGACAACCGCAACCGCCCAGCTCAGTCCGTCGGGAGGAGTAATAGAGCCAATGACAACCTGGTCATCCGCAAACCGCAACTCAAACTTGATCAAATCCTTCCGCCACAGCACAAGGATACCCCCGGATTTGCCAATCGCGGGGTAGTGAAAGAAGTCCCAGTTGGTGCCAATCATCTTATCGACCTCCGCACGGTCAAGAGTTTCCACCTTGGTCTCCACAAGACCAACAAAGTGCACCTCATTGTCACCCACCAGGTGACGCAGGTAGTTGCCCGTGCACCTCTTACGGGCCCCCCTGCAATTCCAAAAAAGGGTCGTAGACATTAAGCACCTATAGGGGAAGCGTCCCCGCCGCTAATAGGTGTACCTCCGTCCTTCTTCCTCTTCCGAGGAGCCTCCTCGATAGGGCCCAACGCCCTTAATTCTTTATCAAAATGCGCCTTAGAGGCCCCCCATTTCAGTCTCGCCAGCCTAGCTCCAGCCGAAAAAAGCAACGGCGGCGTAAGGCCCGGTCGTTTGTCCCCCTTGCTCGGCCTGAAGTTTTCCTTCATCCTCGTCGCACTGGGCTCCTTAACTTCCAACAAATTGACCTGCCTTGGGATGTTCTCCCCCAGCGGTCCCGGCTCCGAAGCAGTAGTTTTCTTGGCCTGCTTACGCCCCTTCCGCGGGGGAACCAAGCTCCATGGGCCAAAGAGTTTTTCATCCTCCGTCAAACCGGGTGGACCATTGTCGTTCGCAATCTCCTCACGAGTATCCGTCGTCACAGTCCGTGAGCTCCCAGCACTGCCAACCCTCGAACCCCCAGACCCCAAAGAGCCGCCCGAGCAATTCGAAACAGGGGCAGGCATGATCGTGCCCACCACAGCCGCTGCAACACAATCAGGTGACTTGCTGCCACTTCCCGAGCTGGAGCCTCCATACCGTCCAGCCCCCGGTTGAACCCCCCGAGAAGTGCCAGCACTCGTGTCGTCCCCCTTAGTGGGACGGTTCGGGCAAGTATCCCTCCGATGTCCAACACGGCCGCATTCGAAGCACGAGAGACCAAGGCCCTCATACTCAACTCGTTGGTAGAACCGTCCTTTCCACCCATTAATCCAAATGCCACTTTGCAATTTCAATGCAAGATCCAATTTTATGCAAATACGAGCATACTCTCGTCTGCCACGTGCACCTGTTTGCGCATCGATACAAAGAGGTTCTCCCAACATGGAGGCAATTCTGATCAGATTCTCTTGATCCCAATATTAGAGCGGAAGCTGCGGCAGTCGAATCCAAATGGGGGATGACAGCCCCTCCAACGAGCTCGGGGAGAAGTCCGGTGTCCACCGGTCAAGCCCAACAATATTGCCGCTAAAAAACCATGGGCCTCCGCACAGGACAACATCCCTCGCCTCCATCGAACCAAACGTGCAGGCAAAACAATCGGTACCAATGGTCGAGATCTGTAACTCCCCAAATCGTCCCCACTGCCTCCTGATTTCGGCTTCTAGGACAAAAAAAGGCAGCCGACGCCCAAGCACTTTGCCCACAACAGCGTTCTCAAGGAGGCCAATGCTCCGTTGCACCAGTTCAAGCTTAAGGTCGGCCGCAATACCATCCGACGAAAATTGACCCTTCCGTACTGCCTCGGTGACCTTGATATGCTCCGGCCGCTTCCAAGCATTAGTGGAGTTGGCCCGAGCCTCGGACTCCTTCGAACCCCCAAAGATTCCCTTCGCTTTGGGTGCAGACGCATTTCCACGAACACCTTGAGGGCATTCCGCTGGTGCAGCCAGCCCGCCACCAGCAGCAATCGGGCCATTCACGCCTATAGGTTGCTCCAGCACACCACTACCCGACCCCCCATGAACAACCATCGCAACATCGGCATCAATCGTACCTGGAGGCCCACCAACAGCAAAGCTATCAAGGCAATCTTCCATGCCTAAGTCCATATCATTGTCCGTTTCCGCCTCCATTTGTCCAGCTTTGGCACACGCCCCCGATGTGCCGCCCGACTGGTTCTTCCTAGCCGCAGCCGCTGCTTCCGCCTTGGCCGCAACCATGACCCGCTCCAACGCCTGTTCGAAGTCCATGGCAACGCTATCCTCCTCAAAGGCCGGGTTCTCCTTCAGCTGGAGTCCCGTCTCACATCCCGCCTGGGCGCCTCCAGCAGCTCCGCGGCTCGCCTACCGGGCCGCCTTAGGCCCCGCGACTCCCAAACGCCCAGCGCCAAGGCTGTGGCCGGCCGCATCATTCGAGTTCAGGGCCCCCTTAGCCCCTCCCGACGGTGTCTCTCCAGCGGCTTTTCCGCCTGAGATGTTCTTCCCGCTCTGCTTGACCGTCCCGGCCTTGCCCGGCGACTTAACCTCCACATACCGCTTACCACCACCGGACCCTATGCCGGACCGCCGCCTATCCCGATCGCCACCACCCGAACCTTCACCACCACCCCCGCCGGAGCGGGGAGGAGATCGCCTGTCCCCCCTACCATGCCCAGAGCGTCTCTCTCTAAAACACTCTAGTGAGAGAAATAATTGGTGGAAAATGAAGAACCCCCTCCAAAGTTTTTGGGTTCCTTGAAAGTTGCATTTGCATTAAAAAAGTAAAGCAAAGAGAATACAAACTACAATTAGGCTAAACCCTATCACTCTCCTCTCTGAGGAGTTCAACAAAAAAAGAAGGTACAGAAGGTGAGATTACATCATGCCATGTAAAGTTACCACAAAGAGCATGCTTAGCACAAAAATCAGCCGGTCTGTTGCTGAGGCGAGGAATATGCTGAAAAATCACTTGCCGAAATTTGTTGAAGAAACTGAGATCCGGCCCGTCCGCCGTGCGGTGCAGCCCACAAGCAGGCCGGTGAACCTCGTGCAGCCATTGAACAGCCTCTGAGCTATCCCCCTCCACAATGATGCCATCCCGATCATACATCCACTCTTCAATCACTTCCGCAAAGGCCAAGGCCGCCCGCATCTCAGCTTGTATCGGGTCCCAATGTTCCAAGCATTTCCCGGACGCCACAATCAGCCTACCCAAATCATCCCGTACAACCATGCCGAGCCCAGCCGAGTTAGACGGAAGAAGCGCCGCATCAAAGTTCACCTTCAACCAATTCGGAGGGGGTGTGCACCATAATTTGTTAATAGGCAACCCAATGGGTTGATTGATGCACCATTGCTCCAAGAGAGGCATAGAAAATGTCTTTGGAATTTGAGAGAGAACCGTAGCCGCAATAACTTTGGGCGTTCCATAAGATCGGCCATGCTTCAAAGCATTCCTCGCTCTCCAAGTTTGATAAACCGCGTAGCACTGGATCCTCCCAAGTGCAGGGTTGTCCCGAGCCAGCCCTTTCAGCGAGCAAATTAGTTCCTCAAATGAGTTCGGCTCGGGAAGATGAAAACCCCAGCTGCTAAGACACCCCACAACTTGTTTCAGCTTCAAGCAATGAACCGAGCAGTGACCACGGTTCTCCTCCACTAAACAGCCCCAAGGGCAGTGATCAGAATCCGAGAGGTTTCTTCTAGCCAGCCAAGCATTCGTGGGAATCGCATCCCTAAATAATCTCCACCAAAAAATCCTTTCTCTCGGGTGCAGCCGAAATTTTCTGAACCAGCCGAACTGATAACTCCCCTCGCCAATACAGGCAGCATAGGCACGGGCAGTCACGGTCGCCCCCCTATTCACCCGTATAAGTTCGGGGACATCCTTGGCGTGTTCACCACCCACCGGGATATCCAGAATTCTACCCCCGAGCACATCCCCAAACGAGTGTAGAACCGTCTCACGGTCCCAGCCCCTGTCACCATCCAATAAGGTACACACCCTGCTATCCGCCCTCTCATCAAAGTGATAGAAAGTCGGCCACTGCTCCATCTTGCGATCGAGTATCCATACATCTCTAAAGATATCAATCATTTTGCCATTACCCACCGTCCACTTTAGGATTGGTCGCAGCGCCACGGCCCCATTCTGAATAATTCGCCACGAAACTGACGTATTCCTTTCGTTCCTCTCAGCCCAGGGATCATCACCATACTTGGCCGAAAGCATTCGGTTCAGTAACGAGCCGGGGCGTTGAATGAAATCCCAGGCGAGGCGGGCACGAAGTGGACTTTGCCAAATAACAGAGGAGTGAAAGCCAAGCCCCCCAAACTCCACGGGCTTGCACAGATCATCCCACGCCACATAGTGTAGCCCACGAGAGCCTCCACTCTTGCTCCATAAAAATTGTCTACCAATTTTGTCAATGGCCGCCAGTACCCCCCTCGGCACCCCCGAAAGAGTCATGCAATAAAGGGGAATCGTTTGGAGGGCCGACCTGATCAGAGTAGCTCTGCCCGCAATGGAGAGATGTCGTTTTCCCCACACATTGATTTTATCATTTGCATTCTTCAGAATTTTGGAAAAATCAGTAGCCACCGGCTTCCGCATCAGGAGTGGCAGGCCAAGATATTCCAAGGATTCCACAAGCCGAAATCCCAACACCTTGGCAAGCCGGCGGCATTTCCACCTGGGGCACCTCTTGTTAACCAGAATGGCAGATTTGGCATTATGGACCCGCTGGCCGGTCCATAGGCAATATTCCTCAAGAATTTCCTGCACCTTACTAGCATTCACCCTTGAAGCTTCAGCAAAGACCAAGATGTCGTCGGCGTATAGGAGATGAGATACCCTCTCCCCGTTAGGAATTAACTGCACTCCAAGTGACCTTCCTCCACGATGGAACGCTTTGGTCAGCAACTGCGAGCACAGAATAAATAAATACGGCGAGAGAGGGCACCCTTGCCGGAATCCACTCAAGGCCGAAATCCACTTGGATCGGCCTCCATTAAGTAAAAAGGAGAATCTCGGATTAGTAGTGCAATGCATAATCCAAGTAATGAATTTACCCGAGAATCCCATAGCCTCCATGACTCTCCTGAGAGTGTCCCAAGCCATGCAGTCATACGCTTGTTCCATATCAACTTTGATGGCCATTAATCCATCCTTCTTGGTGGAGTGTTGGAATTTACAAAGAACCTCCTGCGCAAGGAGCCCATGGCCGGAAATCGAACGTCCAGGGACAAACACGCCTTGTTCTTCGCCAATGATACCATTGAGGAACGGCTTCAAACGAAAAACCAAGATCTTCGCCACAATTTTGTAAAAGGTTTGACAAAGGCTAATCGGCCGGAATAGGGCCGGCGTGTTAGCTGCCATATTCTTGGGCAAAAGGATCACCAAGGTGTCCTTCCAAGTCTCACACATATGGTTAGTGATAAAAAAATCTTTGATCGCAATACAAACATCGTATTTGATAATACTCCAATAGAATTTCAAAAAGGAGGAGGTAATACCATCCATGCCCGGAGCTCGGTTGTTCCCCATGCTAAACACCGCCTTAGTGATTTCCTCTTCCGTGACATCCGCATCCAAGATGTCCCGGGCCTGTTGAGAGAGCACCTCCTCGGGACCAAACTCCGGCCAATTATCCACCCCAATATCTCGGGCCCTCCATTTCCGAGAAAAGAACTCCCAAAATTCATTGTGGATTATAGCCGGATCCGCAGTAGATGCCCCATCCGACAATTTCACCTCATTAACCCTGTTGGACCGCCGCCGGGCTGAGGCCATAGAATGAAAGAAGTGGGAGTTTGCATCGCCCTCCTCAATCCACCTTACCTTCGCCCTTTGTCTCCACCAGGTAGCCAGCCGGGCTAGCGTCTCACTAAATTCCCCAACAACCATGCGAAGCTCCGTTTCCTGCTCAACACTGAGGCCTTCCGCCGAACAATCAAGAAGCTGTAAGGCCTGAATTCTTCCTTCCAAGTCGTCCTTCTGCTTGCTAAGCTCACGGACCCTGCTGCGGCTCCAATAGAAAAGAGCTCTCAAGGTCCTGCTGCATTTGCGGTTAGCAACCTCCGCCGGCGGACCATAGTCCGACCTAGTCCAGGCCTGATGAACAATCTTCCAGGATGCCGGGTAGCTCATCCACACATCCTCAAAACGAAGCCATTTGAAACTGAGTGCTCCCGCCGAAGTGCCCAGCCCAAGTAACAAAGGGCAGTGATCAGACGCTAACCGTGGCAGGTGCTTCACCACAGCCAAAGGGGCCGCACCGAGACCCTCCGAGTTGATCAAAATCCGGTCTAGTCGTACCCAAATGCGGCTAGCCGCGTCTTTGTTGTTCGACCAAGTGAACTTTGGACCCGTAAAGCCCAAGTCGTGCAAATCATTCCTAGCCAAGGCATCCACCATTTCCTGTGCCCCGGCCGAGAACGTGAACCGTTTACCACCCTTTTTTTCATCTTGGGATAGACAACAGTTAAAATCCCCACCGACAATGGTAGGGACATTGGGTGCCATCACCGAGTCAATGGTCTCCCAAAGAGTACGTCGGACATGAAGATCCTTGTTGGCATAAATGAGCAGCACATTCCACTGTTGGAGAGAAGGTAACACCATCCGGCCCCCAACACACTGCTCAGTCACCACCTCCACAGAGAACTTAACCAGTTCCCCTCTCCACAGGAGAAGAAGTCCACCCGACTTTCCAACCGCAGGATGGTGAAAAAATTCCCACCCCCTACCGACAAGCCTATCCACATCGGCTCTATCAAACGTTTCAACCTTAGTCTCCACAAGTCCAATCAACAAAACCTCATTGCTAGCAATGAGGTGCCGCAGGAAGTGACCCGTATTCTTCTTACGGACCCCCCTACAATTCCACATAATGATGTGAGTCATTGGGCAACCGAAGGGGAAGCGTCCCCGCCGCACGTACCATTACTGCTTTCCTTCCGCCTCTTTCGAGGGCCCACCTCAATGGGACCAAGAGCCTGGAGTTCCTTGTCAAAGTGAGATTTGGAAGCTCCAAGTCTAGGTCTATCTCTGCCCACCCCAGCCGAGAATAGGGTGGGTTCTTTAACACCGAGCCTACGCCAACTCGGTTTAATGTTTTCTTTGCTACTTCCTTTCAACGGTTCCCCAACCTCCTTGAAGTTCACTTGTCTAGGCAAATTCTCCCCCAAGGGTTTCTTCTCAGCAACACTATGAGCCTTCTTTTGTTGCCCCCCTTTCTTCTTCCTCGGTGGGACAATATTCCATTGTCCAAAGAGTTTTTCGTCTTCCGACAGTTCCGTTCTGTCATTGGCCACCGAAGTCGGCACATCACTCCCCCCTGCAGGCGTGGAATGCTCTTCACGTTCAACCCGGTTATTCACCACAACATTGGTGGCTTGGCTTCCCCTGCCCACCGAAACAGCAAGAGGAGACACCTCCTTGGCCTGCACCCGAGGGTTGGGTCGCGCCCGGCTTGTTGACGCAACACTAGAACTGCCACTATCTAGGACGGCTTTTCCTTTAGACATCCCCGCAGGAGTGCCAACCTGAGCATTCCCCCGCGAATCACCCCGGGCTGGGCAACTATCTTGCCGATGGCCAATTCTGCCGCACCCGAAGCATGACAAACCCAGGCCTTCATACTCGACCCTTTGGTAAAACCGTCCCTTCCATCCATTAATCCAAGTGCCCGGCTGCAGTTTTTGAGCAAGATCCATACGCACACAAACCCGTGCATACTCCCGTCGCCCATCTCCACC